CTGCCAGCCACTGGGATGGCTTTGCATGGGCCCAAGGGAGCCAGCGTGGTGCTGTGCCAACACCTTGTCACGGCCACACGTGCATCAACATCACATCAGTCGGACCCCGAGCTTATAAGGACCTTGCCTTATGGACTATAGCCCTGACCAAGCCTGTGGCCATTTGGTGAGACCAGGCTGGTGTTGGGGTCTCCTGGCTGTGGCTTTTTGCCGGCACCGCAGTCCCTGGGACGTCAGCACCGACAGCACATCGGTAACATGCAATGTGGGGGTGCGGGAGCAGCAACCCGTGCTGCGGGGCTGGCTGCAACCCCTGCTCCCAGTTCCTTCCACCTCGCAGACCCCAGCGCAGGGGCCTCTGGGGACTTTTGAAAGTCCCCTAAAGTTGGTGAAACCCCCCTTCCCTTCCCCTGCCTGTTCAGAAGCAGGTCCCCTCCCTCCAACCAGCGACCATTTCAGGGGCTGGTTTTCATCCCGACAGTCCTACACGGCCTAAAGGGACCTGCCCCGAGCCTGTCCTGGGAGGGCTGCGGGGACCTCTCACAGAGGAAGCTTTGCCTGGTGCTTCTACATCCAGGAACAGGAAAATGGGAAGAGATTTCAGTGCTGGTCAATCATCACAGCAGGACCGTGCCCAGCCCAAAGGCTCGACAGGCCGTACAGCAAATGCAGCTTGTGCTGGGGTGGAGGGGAGCGATTCTGAAAAGCTGGGGGGAGGATTGGGAGTAGCAGGCACAGGAGTGAGAGGAACCAGCTACCCCAAGTTGCTTGGCCCCTTGCAACCAGGGCCTCACGAGGTGCAGCTGTGAGTGAGGAGGAACCGAGAGCCACCAGTACCCCCCACCTCCCTGGTAAACCACCCCCAGGGCAAGACACCCCTCTGGCAAAACATACACTGGGTCCCAAAGTCCCGTCATCACCGCCCCACCTCCCAGCAGGAAACCGAACGTGACAAAGACCCATCTGAGAGCTGGAAAACCAGCCAGGCAGCCAGAGCCTGGGCAGAGAGCGCAGCTCATCCGAGGGAAGGGGCAGCAAACACGGCCACGAGCTACCAGGGGCTGAAACCGGGCAGAGCAAAGTGGGATGGGAATAAAACAAGAGCTGCCATTTACTGGGTCTGACCCCACATCCATCCCGGGTGGAGCAGGGTTTCCCCCGTTCCTCTCCTGACAGCCTCCAGCACTGAGGTGCAGGCAGGGCTGATGCAGAGGCCGTGCCCCTCGCTCCCTGCCCCCGATGCCCCTTTCCCCCATGCACGTGTCCGAGCCCCATCCTGCCCGCTACCTGGCGACAACCAGCATCCGCTCCTTCTGGCCCAGCCGCTCCCTCTCCAGCTCCTGCAGACCAGGAGGCTCCGGCGCCGCGTCCGGCCGCTCCGACCCGAAGACCCTGGAGTACAGCAGGCGGCCGGGCCCTGCCGCGTCCCCCGGCCGCGGGCTCAGCGTGTGCAGCAGGAAGGCGTGGACCATGGCAGCCTGGGGGGACACAAGTATGGCTGCAATGGGGGGGCCGCACAGGGCTGGGGGGAAGGAGGGCAGGGGCCACCGGCCCAGGTTTTCGGGGACACCTCCTCTCTGGCATGCTCCCAGAATGCCTCCCACAAAAATGCCTGGGCATTTAAAAAAAAAAAAAAAATGATCAAATGTCCGGGATTTTGGGCAGCTCAGCTTCCAAGTCTTCTCCCAGCTCGCCCCAGCAAGGAGATGCATGCAGCTGGGGGGGGGGGGGGGGGGCGGGGGGGGGGGGTACCCGCTCCCCTCCCCTCCCCTCCCCCAGCAGGCCCTGGAGCCTCCCCGCACTCACCTCCACCCGCGCAGCCAGCCAGCGCGCACGTGACTTCCGTTCGGAAGCTGACGTAGAGGAAACAGGCGGGGCCTTGGGCGGGCATCCCAGCTGCCATTGGCTCCTGCGGGCGGGGGGCTCTGCGGGGGCCCCAGCCCTGCCCGGCCGCGCAGGGCGAGGGGGTTTGTACCCGACAGCTTGCTAAGAAGGATTTCCCCAACTTTTTGAGCTGGTCTAGTAAGGAAGTGATCAGATTCACCCAAAGCCCCGTGTCCGCTGTGTCCTCACAGCCACACGGCGACAGCCCACCCCGAAACATTTGCGGTCTAGGAAGCATGGCTTGGGAGGAGAGGCTGAAAGAAGCGGGGTTAAGTCGTCTGGAGAAGAGAGATCTGGAGGGGGGATTTCATCCCTGCCTTCCTTCGCATGAGTGCAGATTATTCTGTGTAGATCCGGGGAAGAATGGGCTCAAACTGCAGCACAGACAGCTGAGGTCAGAGATTAGCAAGAGCTTCCTTGCCCCGAGGGTATTTGGGGCTGAGCGCTGGACCAGGCCGCCCACAGAGGTGGTGGGAGCTCCACCTTGGGGTCTCCGGGAGCCACAGGCAGCTTCCTTCCCCCTCGCGTCCCCAGACCCAGCTGCTGCGTTGCAATATCTCCCGTCCTGCATCGGAGCCAGCAGCAGGGGCAGGTCGTTGTCTTCAGCTGGGACGTGTCCGAAGTCGTCGTGTGCCCCTGACTGCAAGGAGGAAGGCCCACCAGTCGGTGCGGGACACGAAGCCGGTCGGCAGTAGGGATCTGGAAGCCAAGGGTCTGCCTAGATGGAGCTGGCCTGTATTTGGCAGGGAGCAGAAAGGCATCTCCACCCCAGGCGAGGCTGTGGCCTGGCTGGACGCTCTGCCACTTGAACAAAGGAGGATCTGCCCCACCGCTCTGGTTCATTGGACACCTGGACAGGCCTGGCTGATGGAAGGAATTGCAGTTTCTCAGGCGTACAGCTGAGCGCCACATGACATTTGGATTGAGAAAAGCACTTAGAGAGGCCGTGTCTACACAAGACACCTAATGTGCAGTAGCTTAATAATGCTGTGCAGTAGCGCATCACCACTGGGACACTGCTAATGCGCTACCGCACAGTACTATTAGACTACTGCGCAGCAGCAGCAGCACCAAAAAGGTGTTCACCAGCGCTACTGTGTAGTAACTATAATCACTGCACATTTACTTAGTGCCTAAGTACTAAATTAAATGCGTAGTAACTGCTGCGCATTAATGAACTTGTAGACGTGGCCAGTGTGTATGGAATTAAGAGGTCCAGGGGGCAAAACTGGCTGACCATTAGGGAAGCCACTTATACCAGGCTGGGGACACAGGAGTCAACTGAGCTGAGTCCAGCAGGTCCCCGGGACCGGTTCTTGGCCCACCGCTGTTCGATATGTCAATCAAGAGTTGAGGGGATATAACCCCAGGTCCTTTCAGATCACCTCTTCCCTTGCAGGGCGCTTGTCAGAGCAGGCCTGTTTGGTCATCTGAACTGAGCAGCACTTCATCAATTCGCTCGCGGTGCCTACACAGTTGCGCAGAGAGAGAATGTGTGTGTGATCAAGCATCGGTGTCACCAACGGTGTCAGTGTGTCCTGAACAGAAAACAGGCAGGCTGCGTTGTGAGGCCGCCCTGGGCAGAGCAGGGCAAGCGCCCGGCAGCTGTGCTGGGATCGGCCCCTGCTATATCGTTACGATCGCTCCCAGCCACCGCGAGGCAGCCGTCCTCTGGTACCTCCAACACGCTTCTGCAGCAGCCCTTGAGGATGCTCTTGTCTTACAGCAGTGCCAGGGATGCAGGTCCTGCTAGATAAGCGGTTTAGTAAGAACAGGACTATCGCAGACCTGCTCGAGAGCAAGTGCTACAGATGCTGGCTAAGTCTCTCAGGCCAGGCCACCTGGATCCCTGAAGCAGAAGCATGCCTGGAGCATTATGCAGCTCCGATGGAGAGGAGCTCTGCAATGCCTGGAGTATTGTGCAGCTCCCTGGGTCTGTGCAGGGCTCAACGCCTCACTTCTCTCTGCTAAAGGAGACCTAAAACCTCCCACTTCCTGCCCCCCGCACACCCGGCTCCGCTTCAGCGCTGGGGCTGGGGCTGGGGCTGGACCCGGGACACCAGCCACT